AAACCCCAAAGCCTCAGTGACCCCTCCGGAACCCCAAATCCCCCGGTGACACTCCCAGAACCCCCCGGTGACACCCCCGACACCCCAAACTCCTCCCGGTGACACCAAACCCCCTCAGTGACACCCCCGGCACCCCAAATCCTCAGTGACATTCCCAACCCCCCCGGTGATACCCCCGGCACCCTCCGGTGACACCCCCAAACCGCTGAGCCCCCCCAGTGACATCCCCGACACCCCAAATCCCCCCGGTGACCCCCCCGGACCCCACACCGGCCGTGGCCCCCCGGGGGTGTTTTGGGGGTGCCGCTCCCAGCAGCCCCAGCCCGGGGAGGGGCCGGTCCCGGAGGGGCACACGCTGCTCCCCCCAACCCCCCCAGTACCGGATTCCCGGGAATTCCCGCCCGGCAGGACCGGAAAGCCCCCGGAGCGTGGGGGGAGCGGCACCGCCACCCCCGGGGGTTTCTGCGATGGGGAAACTGAGGCAGGAACCGGCGCCAGGCTCGGGGCTGGGGCCATTCCCGGCACCGGGACCCCCCCGCCCCCTCCCCGAGCAGCCTTGGGGACATTTTGTGACTTTATTACAAAAGGGGCGGTGGCACGGGGGGGTCACGGCGCCGGGGGGGGGTCGGGGCGGCGGCGGAACACGGCGGTGCAGGGGGGGCGCCCCGCCCGCCGCGCCCGCTGCCCCTCCTCGGTCACCGCCGGCAGCAGCGGCAGCAGCGGGTCCGCGGCCTGGGACACGGGACAGACAGCGGGACAACAGCGGGACAGCGGGACAGACACCGGGACAGACAGCGGGACAGCGGGACAGACACCGGGACAGCGGGACAGACACCGGGACAGACGCCGGGACAGCGGGACAGCGGAACAGACAGCGGGACAGTGGGGACACCGGGACGGACACCGGGACAGCAGGACAGACAGCGGGACAGCGGGACAGACAGCGGGACAGCGGGATAGACAGCGGGACACAGCGGGGACACGGCGGGGACAGCGTCAGGGCCAGCCCGAGGACAGCGGGCACCTCCCCAGTGAGCCCCACGCTGCCCCTGCAGTGAGAGCCCGCTGTGCCCCAGTGCCACCACAAACCCCGGTGCCACCCCCAGTGCCAAGAGAAACCCTCAGTGCCACCAGAAACCCCAATGTTACCCCATAACCCCAATGCCACCCCACACTCGCAGTATCCCCAGTTAGTCCCCCAGTGCCACTCCACAAACCCCAGTGCCACCCCCAGTACCCCCAATTCCCCCAGTGCCCCCAATTCTCCCCCAGCTGCCCACAGTGCCCCCAGTACCTCCCAGCGCCCCCCAATTCCCCCGGTGCCCCCCATGCCCTCACCAGCTGTGCGGGGGGCAGGGGCTCGAACAGGGGGTGCTCCCCAAAATGCTGCAGCATCCACTGGTGCAGCTCGGGCACGTCGGTCACCGTGTACACCAGGCCCTGCACCCCAAAACAGAGTGTACCCCAAAACCAAACACCGTGTACACCAGGCACTGCACCCCAAAAACCACTGTGTACCCCAAAACCCAC